CTGGACTCCCGTATGGAGATCAAAGAGAAGTACTACTACGCCATCTATGACATGGTGGTGCGAGGAAACTGCTTCTGCTACGGACACGCCTCTGAGTGCGCCCCCGTCCAGGGAGCTGGGCAGATAACAGAGGGCATGGTGAGGACGATTACGGACTGTATTTATATGGCCATGTTGCTATGACGACAACCATGCGCATTAGGAGGTACCCGATCGTAATAGGAAGCGTCACGCAGATACCTGCCAATTAGTGTCTGTAACATCCAATCAAATCAGGGACTCTAATTAGCTGAGGTGAGGCCTCGCAGACAGCTAGCAGCTACGTCCACCTGTCAGTCAAAGAGGCCACGCCCCTAGTAACCAACACTTTAAGCTTAAAGCAGTTTAAACACGTGAGCAAACAGCATATGAAGTAAACATGTTGACTTCTGCTGTAAAGTTCAACATGGCGGTCTGTGGGTGAAGTGTAGGCTTTGATGCTGAGCCGGGTGTGAAAGTAAAAAAGTATAAAATCACACAGACACTGGAAGAAACGGTGCAACAGGCAACTGACTACATGTACAAAAAACCCAGCTTAGGACCTTGTAAGTGAACGCTGATTGATTATTGATTATTTGTGACTGTGTTTCAGGTTCATGGTCACTGCTTATGTAACCACAACACTAAAGGTCTGAACTGTGAACAGTGCCAGGACTTCTACCACGACCTCCCCTGGAGACCCGCAGAGGGACGCAACACCAACGCCTGCAAGAGTGAGTCTGCACCGGTCCATACTGGGCACAGCCCATATCACTGCTGGGAGTAGTTTAACTGTCCTTTCTTCTTCTGTGGTGTCCTCAGAGTGTAACTGTAACCAGCACTCGGACTCGTGTCACTTTGACGGGGCAGTCTTTGCGGCTTCTGGAAACGTGAGCGGAGGAGTTTGTGACGACTGTGAGCACAACACGGCTGGAAACAACTGTGAGCAGTGCAAACCGTTTTACTACCAGCATCCGGAGAGTGACATCAGAGACGCCAACATCTGCCAGCGTGAGTTCACCGCCACTTTGACACACCGGTGGAGGCCAACAGAGCCTGCAGCTCCACCAATTATTCTAAGGGTGTTTTTTAGTGTCAGAGTTTGTAAACCGTCGTCGTTTTACTGGTGCCGGGCTAAAAGTTAAAAGCATCTACCCAAAACTTCCATCGAGGTCGTTTTTTTGGCTCTTTTGATCATCTTCTTTGTTCTTTGAGGACTTTTTGTCCTCAATGTTTGCTTTCACATCAACAAAGAAACTGAATGTTGGCTGTTTTCTGAGGAAGCTCACGTTTCATGATGACACAGGCAGACGCGGATAGGAGGTTGTTTTGTCAGCAGGAAGTAGATTAAAGGCTGGATCTCAGACTAAACATGGAGGAGGAGGGTTTTTGATGTGACACATGAAGGTTTGTGGTTTCCCTCAGGCTCAGACCTGCCCTCCTCACAGGGATCAGTTCAACATAGCTCGCACATCCCTCTCTGAGGGCTGAACAAGCAGCACCTTCTGTTATTACTGCCACTGCATTTCTTTAATTAAAGTCGCAAAGGGTTGTGGGTGATGTGAGTTAAAATGTGCTCCAGAGATCAAAGATGGAGGCGGGAGTTTAATTTCCAGGATAAAAAAGAAACTTATTTTG